TATACACATGCATATATATATATATGGGATACAATACAAAGCGCTTTTTTTCTGGCGTTTGTTTTTTGCCAAGACTACTTACTTTTGCCCCTGAGAAACCATCTCAGGTCAACCGAAGTTATATGTGCAGACCGACGGTTGGATGAGTTTCAGAGATCGGGGTTCCGACTGGTTTGCGCGACATGTGCCGCTGGGTAAAAGAATTCTTTGGCGATGCTTGGAGAACCGCAGACCAAGTGGGCGCTTGTGAGATGACAGAATGCCGACAGCCTGCAACGAAGCACATTCCTACATAACCCTGTGCCAGGAGGAGCGCCCCCGCAACACAACCAAGAGCTGCATAAAGGAATCTTGCAGCAAACAGCATTCACATGCTATGCCCACGGTATATACTCCGTTTATGGATGCTGGTTACTTGTTATTCGAGCCTCTTGGTGCCACCATATATTATAATCGGCTTCTGCTCATCTTTAACAGATCATCAGACCAGACAAGGAACCATCGAAGTCCACGTACTTTTGTGGGTACCGCTCGACTGCCTGCATCATCTGGCGACGGAATGGTCCAAGGAACAGTGTCTTGGCATGTCACCTTACTATCTACCTGCGGTACACTGAAAAAGCCGGAGCATGGGCTATGGAACAAAGTGCTGGGGATTCGTCAAACCTGAAGGGATGGGGATAGTGATGTTGCAACTGATGGCTGCTAAAGGTGCTTAACTAGCCGTAACTAGCCGATCGATGCATGCATCTATGCATCTATCTGTCGAGTACCGCAGCAACAGTAGCAAATCAAACAGCAACAAACATCAACATCACCATCAAAACTACCACCATCTACGCCACCGCCGCCACCATCACCACCACCACCGCCGGCGTCGTCGCCACCACCAGCACCACCACAAGAATCACAAGCTGAATAAGCCCACAAGTCCCACAAACACCATCACAAGCACTACCACAAACACCACCACCTAACGTCACCAACAAAGCAACAACATTACCACCACCACCACCGCCACCAC